GATCCGGGTGACTGCAGGTCATTTAGTCAGATGAAGTGGCGTGATGGGCTCTCATCCAATGACTGCTGCCTTTCAGGAACGGACACGGAGAAAGAACACATGTGAAGAAGACGAGATGGGGATGATGTAGCCATGGACCAGGTGATGAAATATTTCATTGCTGTCAAAAAGCCTGATGAGTTGACTTTGTAAGTCTGGAAGGGTTTGTTTGACTCACGGTTTGAGAGTTCAGTCGGTCGTGGCAGGGGATGCATGACAGCAGGAGAGTGAGTGAGGCAGCTGCTGCATTGTGTCTGCAGTCAGGGACCAAAGAGAGAGATGAATGCAGGAGCTTGGCTCGCCTTCACCTCTGCCCACGGAATGCTGCCCACATTCAGGCTCAGCCTCCCACCGCCACCGAGCCAGTCTAGGAACTCCTGCGTGATTCAAGATTCTACCAAGTTGATAGTCAATATTTGCCACCAAAACAGAGATGCAGCCGAGTGCTGAAGGCTAGGGACAAGTCTAAGGTTCTCCTTCACTGTCCTTGTCAACCCTGCAGGCCTCTGACTTTGAAGCCTCACTTCTGCCATGTAAACCGCCCTACCCCACCCATATCTGCAATGCTGTTAGAGTAACCCCAGCAAACAGCTGAACGCTGCTCTGGCTAGTTGAACTTGAGGTTGGAACCCACCGGCCATACTTGTTGAGGGGGTGGATTTTAGAACGCAAGGGAGGGAGGCAGGGTTTCCCAGGAACCACCAAGTCATCCCAGCTCTAGTCAACCAGTATCCCTCTTGTCTGTCTAGTCATCTCCTCCTCCTTCTCCCCTTCCCCCTTCTCTCCCTCCTCTTCCCCTCCTCCTCCCCTTCCTCTTCTTTTCCTCTTCCTCCTCCCCTTCCTCCCCTCCTCCTCTTCCCCCTCTTCCTTTTCTCTTCCTCCTCCCCTTCCTCCCCTCCTCCTCCCCTTCCTCTTCCTTTCCTCTTCCTCCTCCCCTTCCTCCCCTCCTCCTCTTCCCCCTCTTCCTTTTCTCTTCCTCCTCCCCTTCCTCTCCTTCCTCCCCTCCTCTTCTTTGATTTTTTGAGATAGGGTTTGAGTTTCTCTGTGCATCACACAGGCTGTCCTGGAACTCAGAGAGATCTGCCTATCTCTGTCTCCCAAGTGCCACTCATCTCTTCTTTATCTGTCCCTCCCTCTGCCTGATTGCTTTCCTGTCCCCATCACACACGCTGGACACTATTCACAGTGTTAAGACACAGTGGGGACTGAAACAGACAAGAAAGAGTCTGGTGTAGGGGTGGGATGGGGGCCATCTAGTCACTACCATAGCTGACACCATAGAAACCATGCAGTCACAAAAGCTGCCATGCTGGGTAAAGGCACAAAACCATCTGTCTTATTTCCTGTTGAGCCCTGACCCTAGTGTACTTGGAAGCTGTGCCCAGTGAGGCCAGCTTGGCTCACGTTAAGCCCAGAGTGACTTTACATGCTGTTAAGCATGTGTTGTCCTGGAAGCAGTTTATTGAGTGCGACTTCGGGAATCAGTGTCAGCCTCCTCTAGAATCATCCCTGCCTGTACTAACTTAGTTTCCTAGATTAAGACCAAGAAGTGACACAGAGTGTCACAGAGGCTGGGCCCTGAAGCTGCAGGCTCTGACCACATCCAGACCTACTGAATCGGGAGCAGGAGCTCTGCAATCCAGTCCAGTGTTCGGTTTCTGCACCCCTCACCCCCTCCTGGGGAGGAAGGTGGTCCTGGAGGCTGAGGACATTAGCAGTCAGAAGCACCAGCTGGAGACAAAAAGACATGTTTGGGAATTAGCCTCTGGCTTGAGACTTGGTTCTCTTTAATAACAGCGTAAAAATAGCCCAGAATCTCAGTAATGACCCTCTAAAAATTGTGGGGATGATGCTGTGGCTTTGGAGCACGAACCACAAACACTGACAGGTTTTTTGTTTTTTGTTTTTGTTTTTTTAATGAGTGAACTACAGCATCAGAGCTCATGGCTTCTGGGGAAACGGTACTTTACACATGGAGCATAATTTGTCAGGCTAAATTCTCCCTGATTCCTTGCATTCTGGACATGAGGGTTTTATGGGGCAAAGATTGTCAGGAATCTGGACTTCAGCTTGGTCTAGGAGCAGTAGCCTGAGAGTTAAGCTACAATCGTTGTTCCTGCCTTCTCTGAAGAAGGAAGAGTGTGGGTGGGCAAGGTGGGAGGAGGATCTCTAAGGGTGAGGTGATAGACAGGTGCCTGTGAAGGAGAGGCGTGAATAACGTGAATGTCCTCTGAAATGCTTCCTGCTATCTCAGTCCCCTTAAGCATCCCAACTTGTCAGTCCAAATAAAAGATTGCTTTAAACAGCAACAAAGCCTTTGGAGCTTGAATCAGCTTGGCCACTGCTGCAGACACTGCCCCAGCAGGTCAGACAGGCCAAGGGAGATTTGCAGACCCAGTGAGCTCATTTCCAGAATGTGTGTCCTCACCAACTCCTCTGCCAGTAAACTTTCAGGGGGTGGTACTGGAAGGAACCTCCCCTGTCATTAAGACTTCCAGGGGTGGGAGTGGGAGGGCAGTTTGCACCAGCAGTCAGTCCAGTCAGTCGGCAATCTCCTCCTACACAGGGACCACGCACAACCTTCACAGAGGATATACAAGCTGGACTTCCTCACCTTCTTCCAAGAATTCCCCCAGGCAGAGGTAGCTGAGTCACTGGCCCATGTGTCATATCTACACAGGCCAGTGTGGACTCTGCATTGTAGGATAAGGCCCTGGGCGGGAAGGGATGGAGTGGTCTTCTCAGGTCCAGGGCCAAAGTGCATCCCCAGAATACTTTCCTGGGTGGGTTTAGACAGGCTGCCCTGTGCAGTGGGCTCCAGTATATTCCCACGGGTGCTCATCTGACCTCCCCACTATGGCTCCCCACATGAGTGAGAAAGCCAGCATCCCCACAAAAGGTGTGCCAATTGGAGGGGAAGGATAGCTCCCATTCTCGGGAAATTTCATTTAGTTACTCTGACTGGTTCTACATCACTGTCTGGATTCCTGAATCCAGCTAAAGCTCTTAGGAAGAAGGCAGACTTCCTGAATGGTAGTCCAGCCTGTGTTTTGAAGAATGGACTTTGGGTGTGAACCGCGACTGTGTAGAGGAAATCAACCCACGTGCCAGGGCCCAGTCACAGCTAAGACTCATGGGAAGTTAGGGTGTTGGCCATGTGTCAGTCTGTATGTGCAGCTCCAGAAACACCTGCTGGACCTGTTTGGAAGAGGGTCAGGTGCCACCTGGAGACAGCTCTTTTCTTCCTGTGCCTCAGAGGGAAAGGATATGTGTATCCTCCTCTTAGCAGCCCAGTCAGGCCCTCTCGGTCATGGGCTCTGTTGCTCCACCTCACATAGCTTCTGACATCTTCCGCAGGACCTTGTCCCTTGCCCCTCAGTTGCCCCCAGGCTTCTAAGCACCCAGCCTCCCTGCTTCACTGTGGCTTCCTCTTCCTCCCTTGCTTCCTTCCCACAAGTATCCCTCAGCATGTATCCTTCTCTCCCGTGGAAAACCAGGCATATATGGGCTGCAAATACAATTGCAACCATGCTGACCCCCTGTGGGATGTCATGATGGACTGGTGGCCTCTGCAGCTCCCTAACTTCTGCTCAGCCTTGCCAGGGAGCAAATTCCTTATTATCCTCAGGGAATGGGTTCTGCCACCAAGCCCGCAGTTCCTCACATAAATTTTCGAGGTTACCTACACACTCCCTGCATATGCTAACCTCCCCTAGACTACATACAAAGCCTGTAAAGTGTAAATCTCTGTTAATGTCCAGGGAGTAATCATAAGAAAGAAGCTGGCCTAGGTGTAAACATGCAGTGCATATCAAGATTAAGAGGTATAAAATAGAGTGTCTGTGTAGGACTGACTGAATCTTTGGGTATGGACAGCCCATCACATCAGAGTAATGGATGTAGTTGGGTTTTTTCCACTCTTTCAGTGCCTGCACCCAGTTCCCAAATAAATACATGGAGACTTATTCTTCCTTATGAATGTACAGCCTTAGCTTGCCTTGTTTCTAGCCAGTTTTTCCTCACTTAAATTATCCCATTTCTCTTAACTATGTTTTACCTTTGAGCTTTTTTTTTTTAATTTAATTTAATTTTTTCTTATTTTACGTATGGATCCCAGTACCCTCTCCTTCCCTCTCTTTCCCTCCCTCCTGTATTCCCCCCCCACTCCACAGGAAGGGTGATACCTTCTAGGAGGGGTCATCTAAATCTGTCAAGTCATTAGGAGTAGGGACTACACCTGCCTCCTGCCTCTAGGTTAAGGGAGTATCCCTCTATGGGGAATGTCCTCCCAAATTCCTTTTGTGCAGCAGGGATAGATACATCCTGGTTCCACTGTCAGAGGTCCCTTAGACTGCCCAGGCCTTCTAACTGAGACCCATGTTCAGGGGGTCTGAGTCAGTCCAATGCTGGATTTCCAGCTATTGGTCTGGGGGCCATTAGCTCCCCCTTGTTTAGGTCAGCTGTCTCTGTGGGTTTCTGTAGCCTGGTCTTGTCCTCCCTCTCTGCATCTGGATTCCAGTTCGGCTGTGTTTAGCTGTGGGTGTCTGCTTCTGTTTCCATCAGCTACTAGATGAGGGCTCTATGACGGTGGATAAGTTAGTCATCAATCTCATTATCAGGGAAAGACATTTATGATAGCTTTTCCACTGTTGCTCAAATTGTCAGTTGAGGTCAGTCTTGTAGGTCCTGGACATTTCTCTAGAGTCAGTTTTCTCTTCAAACCTATAATGGCTCCCTCTTTTATGATATCTCTCTCTCTCTCTCTTTTTTTTTTCTCTCATCTATTCCTTTCCGACTCAATCTTCCTAGTCCCACATGCTTTCCTCTCCTCCCCTTCTCTCTCTCTTAGCTCCCTGTCTACTCACTGCCCTCCCACTCCCAATATGCTCAGGAGATCTTGTCCCTTTCCCCTTCTGTAAGGGACCTTATATGAATCTCTTAGAATCCTCCTTGTGCTCTTCCACGGGAGGCCTACACGCTGCCGATTGTGCTGCCGCCATGTCTCTAGTGATCCCTGAGAAGTTCCAGCACATCCTGCCAGTACTCAACACCAACATCGATGGGTGGCGGAAAATAGCCTTTGCCATCACCGCCATTAAGGGTGTGGGGCGGAGATATGCTCATGTGGTGCTGAGGAAAGTGGACATTGACCTCACCAAGAGGGCTGGAGAGCTCACAGAGGATGAAGTGGAGCGCGTGGTCACCATCATGCAGAACCCAAGGCAGTACAAGATCCCAGACTGGTTCTTGAACAGACAGAAGGACGTGAAGGATGGCAAGTACAACCAGGTTCTGGCCAATTGTCTAGACAACAAGGTCTCATTTATTAATTGTTGATCTCAGTGTCTGTGCTACTGGAGTTATGTTTAGGAAGCAGTCTCCTGTACCAATTTGTTCAAGGGTACCTCCTACTTTCTTGTCTAAGAGGTTCAGTGTGGCTGGATTGATGTTGAGGTCTTTGATCCATTTTACTTGAGTTTTGTGCATGGCGACAGACATGGATCTATCTGCAGTCTTCTACACACCATCATCCAGTTGTGCCAGCACCATTCGTTGAAGATGCTTTCCTCCTCCTATTGTATACTTTTAGCTGTTTTGTCAAAAATCGGGTGTCTTTAGGTGTGTGGGTTAATATCAGGATTTTCGATTCCATTCCATTCTATTCCTGTCTATTTTTGTGCCAATATCAAACTGTTTTCAGGACTATAGCTCTGTATTAGAGTTTGAAGTAGGGGATGGTGATGCCTACTGAAGTTTCTTTATTGTACAGGGTTGTTTTGGCTATCCTGGATCTTTTGTTTTTCTATATAAAGTTGATTATTATTCTTTCAAGGTCAGTGAAGAATTGTGCTGGGATTTTGATGGGGATTGCATTGAATCTATAGATTGCTTTTAGTAAGACTGCCATTTTTACTATGTTTATCCTACCTATCCAAGAGTATGGGAGATCTTTCCATTTTCCAGTATCTTCCTTAATTTCTTTCTTTAAAGACGCAAAGTTCTTGCTATATAGGTCTTTCACTTGTTTGGTAAGCATTAGCCCAAGATACTTTATGTTGTTTGTGGCTATTGTAAAGGGTTGCCTTGAGCTTTTTAAGCTTTCTTTATTCTATATATCTTTCTTTCCTTTTTGTTTGTTTGTTTGTATTTCGAGACAGGATTTCTCCGTGTAGCTTTGGAGACTATCCTGGAACTAGTTCTGTAGATCAGGCTGACCTCGAACTCACAGAGATCCACCTCCCTCTGCCTCTGCCTCTGCCTCTGCCTCTGCCTCTGCTGGGATTAAAGGCCTGCACCACCACTGCCTAGCCTTTCTTTCCTTCTTACTCTGTAGCTGGCTGTGCGGTTGGATGGCTGGCCTCTGGCATCCTCCTCTCCGGATCCTCCCTCTTCTCATTCTTCTTATTTAGTCTCTCTGCCTGCAAGCCCCACCTATCCCTTTTCCTGCCTGGATATTGGCCATTCAGCTCTGTATTAGACCAATCAGATGTTCTAGGCAGGCAAAGTAGCACAGTTTCGCAGAGTTAAATAAATGCAATATAAAAGACAGTTTGAATGGAAAACACAGTGGGAAGAGTTTCCATATTGGAAGATGAAAAAGGGTTGCATATAGGCATGTAGGATCCACAATAAAGTGGACACAATGACACTGTCCACTCTAATCAAGAGTTGTTGTGCATTGTGTTTATTTTTTTCACAAGCAAACCTTTTTTTCTTTTTTTTTAAAGACTGACTGTAGCTCGATAGTGGACCACCTGCCTAGTGTGTGTGAGATGTGAGACCAGGAACCCCACTCTCACAATGCTGGAGTACCTACCTAGTGTGTGTGAGATGTGAGATCAGGAATCCCATTCTCCCAACACCCTCTTTATTACTCATTTATAAAACAGAAGTCATTAAAGTCTCCCTGCAGGAATGCAGCAAAGGTTCAGTGGATCAGATGACATACAAGAACATGCCATTTATGTGTCTCATGTTGAGATCAGAAAGGGGTGCAATCATGATATGCTTTAGGGATTTGTTCTTGTGTGTCACCTCGGTGACAGCACACCAACGGTCATGAAGAGCAGCTGAGGCTTGTCACTTGTGGGAGCATTAGAGTCCCTGGGAGTGGCTGCTGGTAAAGATACAACCCAACTGCTGTGTAGACCCCAGCTGCAGCTGTGGAGTGGAGTTGGCCTGAGCCTGAAGACCTGCTGTGAGTGGCATGGCAAGCTCTCTGGGCTTTGGTTTTGCTCTGACCTAAAAGTATCCGAGTCCTGGTTCTTCCCTCTCAGAGTCAGAAGTAGGTAACTTATTTGTGATAGTGAGGAGCCTAAATTCAGAGACTTTGGAATTTTAAGAGACCTTAGATGTCTAAGACTCTTGAGTAATGTGTCTGTGGGACAGGCCCATAGGCTAGTCTGTGGACCACTGCCTTAATTAATGATTGATGTGGTAGGGCCCAGATCACTGTGGATGGTGCCACCCTGCTTAGGTATCCTGAGTTGTATAAGAAAGCAAACTGAGCAAGTGACAAGAGCAAGCCAGTGAGCAGCCCTGCTCCAAGGCCATCCCTTCAGTCTCATGCCCTGTTTTTGCCCTGACTCCCCCTCCCACCCCGAGATGGTTCGTGACTTGTGTGAGCTGAGATAAACCCTCTCCTCCCCAAATTGCTTTTAGTTGTGGTATTTTATCACAGCAATAGAAACCCTAAGACACAAGGGAAGGAAACTGTCCCCAGGGTGTCTCAGATCCACTGAACCTTATGCTCTCTGCCGTTTGTACTGAGAATCTGGGGTTTTTTCTTAAGAGACTCTGCAGTCATGACCCCAACAATCCCTTCACAGGCGCCTGGAAGGCAAGCCCAGAGCTTTCTGCAGAGGGTGAAGAGCCAAGGCCAACACACCAAAGGGCAGAGAGCAGGTGTATGTTGAGAGGCCTTACTGGTTGGTCAGGGGTTGTAGTCTATCATGGCTTGGCAGCTTTTTCCAAAGCTTGATGACATGGGACTCCTTCCCTCCTACCGAAACTTCCTGCTCTCTACCCACTCTTATCTGGACAATGTCCCTGGGTCCTAAGGACTGGCCTTTTCTGGAAGCTGTGTCTAAGCCTGGAGCCTGATTTATATCTAGGGTGACTCTTGGCACAGATTCCTGCTGGAAGCCATCCTTGCTGCGGGTAACTCAAACTTGTGCTAGGTAGGACTCTGATGTCACATACAAAGCCTTGTACTAGGACCTTGCCACTTAATGCAAATTAGGGATTGTCCCCAGGTTCCCTAGTCCTATATATTTCCTATACCCTGGAATAAAGCTGAGTAGATTCATCAAAGCCATCTCCCTGGAGGGCTGTCTCTGCTGTAACCATAGCTGCCCAAACCCTGTTCCCTGCCTCTGCTCCCTCCACCCTTGTGGCCCAGTGCAGCCAGCAATCCCCAGGAAGAAGCAGAAGCTATAGGAGGGGATGGGAGGGAGGCTGTGGATCCATTTAGGCCTCAGGGTGGGTGCACAGATAGGGGTTCTAGAGCTGGGTGCAGATGGAGGTTCTAGAGCTGGGCAGAGATGGGGGTTCTAGAGTTGGTGCAGATGGGGGTTCTAGAACTGGCTGGGATTGTGGACCAGAAGCATATTGGTCCCAGGTCCACCCACCTCTACCAGTGTGTAGGGCCACCACACCAATGCTGGGAACACTGGAGCCTTCAATTTCATTTTAGCTTCTCCTTTTGTGACTCTGTTGAGGTGTGGCCGATACAAGATAAGCAGCATGTATTTAAGATGCATGCTTTGACGAGTCTTGACCTCTGAACACTTGAAGCTGGCACATGATAGAGAATCTGCACTCCTCCCTCCACGGACCTCTCTGTGATCCCTTCCTCCTCCTCAGCCCTGACTCATAACCTCAGGCCACTGATCTGCCTTTTGATACTGGAGATTCATCCATCCTATAGAGTGCCGCACCTAAGCAGCGATACAGGACAGTGCTTTTTTGTGGGGGAGGGGGCTGGCATGATTATTCTGATACTCAGCCAGGCAATGTTTGTCTGCATATTATCCCACTGTGTTAGCAGGCCGTAGTTTATCCACTCAATGAAGGTGGACACGCAGGCTGTTGGTGTTTGGTGCCATACTGGATAAAGCCTCTCTATGTCTGAGTCTTTGAATGGCCATGGGCTTCACTTCCCTGGGACAAACCCCTCAGTGTGCAATAGTTGGGCTGTCTGGTAGGTGTGACTGTTTGGTCTGTACATATTGAAGACTGTTTAGCCAAACATCTACCCTTGTCTATTTCTGCTTCAAGGCAGGTGTAAACCTCCCTCCCTTCATAGGGATGGGGTTACTAGCTCAAAGAGCATCCATATGGGGTTTACAAGCCTGTCTCAGATGATATGGTTTGGATAGTCCAACAATGGCTATGGCATGACAGAAAGTCTGAGAGCCTAGTAGTGAGAGCCTGGTAGCTGTTCAGTCCCCAAGACTGGGTTGGGTGTCTGGAGCTGGAGTCCTGAAGGACCTTGAAGAGCTGCTGGTTTGTACCGGAATCCTGAAGAAATTGGGTTTATTACTGGCCACAGCACAGGACAGATGAGAGCAAGGGCAAGCAGACACAAAGCAAATCCTCCTTCCATGTCCTTTTATCTGAGCTGCACCAGTGGGCCAGATTAGGGTGGGTCTTCCTACTTCAAATAATCTAATTAAGAAAAGCCCTCACGGGTGTGCAGGGCTGCTTGGGTTTTAGTTGACTCCAGGTGTAGCTGAACTGATAAGCCAGACGAGACACCACGACGCCAGAGACAGCTGCAGCAGACGTCTGCCTTCATTAGGGTCCTCCTTGGAGGGTTTCCGCCCTCACAGGCCCTCACACTGCTTTGTCTTTTTGTCTTTTGTCTCCCACAAGGACATCCAGCCTTCTGACATTGCACAATGATGTCATCTACAAGTGTGTTGGGCTACATCCACAGCATTACTTTCTGTGACAAAGGTGCCCACAGCCGACAGGGTAGATCGACTGAGGGTCTAAAACTTCCTCTGTTAAGATGCCTCTTAAGTGGATTTCTCATACTCACTGCTGAGAGACATTTTCTTTTTTGAGATAGAGTTGTTTTTCCCGAGTGCTGTATGTGAAAAACTGCTTTCCTGGGTGGGGTAGGAGGGAAGGGTGTAGACTGAGGCCAAGTCACTGGCTTTAAGAGATGTGGCTTCTCTGTGCCGGCCTCAGTGTCACTGGCTGCTGGTTTCCACATGGATGTTCTAATCAGGGTGTATTAGCATCCCGTGGTTTTGATTTTCACTTCCCCCGCGACTTGAGCTTCTGTACAACTTTCTGTGGCTTGTCTT